ATCAGTAGAGTGGAACCAGTCTGAAGTTGGACAGCTATTGGGCTGTTGTCCTTACAGAAGCGTTTGCTGCATAAATTCACAGCAATCTTTGTGCAAGGTTGTGGTCTGGCAGTTTTTTGTGAATTATTTTTTTTTTTAGCAGGCAGGCATGCATGAGATCCCTTCCTTTATAACCTCTCTGTTCTATTATTTTTTAGTATGACATGGTAAAAGTGACTTCATTTTTTTTCAGACAGCTTTCACGACAAATCAATCCCACAAATCTTGAGTTAGCTACCCATGGCCCAGGTCCTCTTTTCTTCCTGTGACTCACTCAGCCTTCATGCCATCATTCGGAAGCTGAATACCACCTATCTTCTTGAGCTTTTAAACTTTGTTGGCGGTCATCTTCTGGTCTTTGCTCTTTGTCTTTTGTCCTCATCAGTGATCCTTGTCACCTCTCTCTAATATTTACTATTGTGTCAATATTATTATGTCACTTATTAGTATTGATAGTGATCAAAACCTGGCTTAATGGTAGTAGATGGGGTGGTTTAAATGCCTCCTCCTAAACTCATGTTGAGATTTAATCCCCATTGGAACAATATAAAGAAACAAGACTTTCAAGATGAGATTTGGCCACGAAGATGCACTTCCTCAAAGTGCAATAAGGCTGTTAGTGAGACAGTGGGCTGGTTGTCTCCAAAGTGAGTTCCTGACAAAAGGGTGAGTTTTTTTATGTTTCATTTGGGCTTGTTTGCCCTTCTGCTGTGTTGCGGCATAGTAGGAAAAGAGAATTTGCTAGTGACATAAAGACAGGAAGAGAAATATACAGCATCAAACAGAAGAGACAGAAGTCATCTGTAAACCAGTGTACTTGATTTCTTATTGAAATCACCCTTCTTGCACTTTCCCTGGCTACAGCTGAAAGTAAATGTCATTTTTGGACTCAAACCAAGGGCAGGAAAAATGTCACTTTAACTGTTTTTCAATGAACCTAGTGATAATGGTCAAGTAAGTATGACTGGATAGAGTCTCACTTGAGACCGCTTTAATAATAATGTGGTGTAAGGATGACATCAAGTTAAAGCATCCTTTCACAGATTAAATAAGTATATAAGTTGCTGACAGGTTTTATAATTTTTACTTCTTTCCATTTAGTGTTGGAGCAGCCTCTTGCAAATTAAACTGGTTTCATAATTTTAGAATTGAAAATTATCATTGAAATAATTTTTGTGATTTATTATATCCCTAAAAGCATTGGGAATATACAAATTTAAATGTTTGTTCTCTTACTTCCAGGAAATATTTGAGCCCTTCAAAGGAAATTCCTTTGCTCCGTTTCTTTCAGTCTCTCCTTAATTTAGATTATTAAGTCCACAAGAAGGAAAGTCTATACTATTAAAACACTTGAACAATTCTTTGTTAACGGGCACTTATTCTGTGTGGCACTTATTCTTGACTCAGAACAATAACACAAAGAGTTCTGTGTTTTTATGGAGCTGCTGCTGTTTCCTCTGAAGAACAAGTGCACCTATGTGTGAATTCCTAGACTGTGATACAGCTTCCCCTAACACTGTCTGGTTGTCAAGGCAGCTGATAGTCCTTACCTGCTACGGCAAGTGCAGAGAGTGGCCTCAGTCTGTGAGGTGTGTTAGGCCCACACTGAAGAGCTTCCACTGTCATGACCATATGAGAACACAGTCTATATTTGTCTTCACATCTCTACCTGAAATCTTTGGTAAAGTCACTTAGCTTCTTTATTCTTTCCTGCTGCTGCTACTACTTTTCTCCCAACAAGACTTTGTATTCTTGGTGGGCTAATTCTATGGATGTATAGGACGGGGACTTCCTTCTGACCCATCAATAGCTCATCAAAACTCTTATGGGCTGAGTAGCTTCCCCTCCCCCCTCCATATTGTCAATTCTGTTATGCTGTGTGGTAAGAAGAGAATTCAAAGTGCACAGAAAAGGTAAAAGTGTGCACCCATGAGAGACACCTGTTCTGTCAAGTCAGAAGTCCTGCACACCTGTAAGAGAGACTTCGTTCTGCTTATCCGCCCAGACTAAGACAGTGGGCTGGGTGAAGGATAAAGGGAGTGAAGCCTTAGAAGGAGTCTTGCCTTGTCATTTTAGCTTCTATGGATACAGACACATTTTAACTTGGCTCTGTTTCTGATGTCACAGTCCTCCCACTAATGTTTCCATAAGTGTTGCTTTCATCAAGCTGCCACCATCTCCCATGTGAACTCTGCAGAGTTCTCAGAATTTTCCCTGACTCCTACAGCTGTCCAAGTCAGCCTCCACCTCGTGTCCATATGCCGTCCTCTCTCAAACGTGTTATGTTGCTCCTCTGGGAAACAGAGTCTTAATGTCTTACTTTCAAGCTTGGAATAAAAGTTAAACTCCCAGCTATTCTCCAGTCCATTTCTTTGCCTTCCCTCTGTCGACTTGTCTCTAGATCTCAGCCAGAATGGCTTTCCTCTCACCTGGGCAGGCCACACTTGTTCCCACAGTTGGTCCTCTCGCACTCCTGTCTGCTAGCAGCCTCTCATAGGTCTTGCTGTGGTTACCTCTGTTTTTTCTCTTTTGTATCTTTTACACAGCACTGCTGCTGCATAATTTTTTTAACCTACCTATTGTTTGCCTTTCCCAGCCAGAATGTTCTATAAGAGCAAGATCTACTTTGTTCATTGCTGTAGCTATTCATGGTACATCTAGGCATTCAGACCCTTTTGGAATAAATGAATGTATGAAACCCTCTAAAATTACTGTACTGTAAAATGTTTGTATTATAGCCATTTATGGGACTCTAGCTTCATCATGTCTAGTGACTGGGTGGTATATACCAACAGTATATTTAGTAGGGCAAGGGATTTAGCTCAGTGATTCCACTGACTGCCTCAAAAGCACAAGGTCCTGAGTTCAAGCCCAGTACCAAAAAAAAAAAAATATTTAGTAAACACCATTCCTTTTACAAGTGGCTGTTAAATGCATTTAAGAATTAAGTATCTATACCAGCTATGTCTATATTCCATTCATGTACTTAATTATTAACTTAATGATAGCATTCTGGACGACCATGACTATTTGTAATTGAAAAATTTAAAATGAGTAATTATATTTGCAAAATCATTTCATGCTAGATTTCTAAATTATTCACTTCCTTGGTTAACAGTAAACTAGCTAAAGCTACACTGTTTTGTCAAGTAATTTTGACAGCAGAATCTCAATGCTATAGTAACTGTTACATAATCTCTTCAATCCCCATAGTAGCAACCTTCCATGTGGAATAATTTCTAGTGGGACAGTCACTTCCATATGTTTTATAATGCACAAGTCTATTAATATTTCTTTTGTTTTACAGATGTATGAAATAAATTTCTTTTGAGATGTGAAAAATAAATGTTTCTGTTAATATAAATTGAATGAAATTGAATTTTTGAGATTAAATTGAGAATAACTATTTATAAATAGAATGATCAGTTTTACATTCTATTTCTGTTTAAATAAATACACCTATTGAGGAAACAGTTGATATTCTTATTCCTTTAGAAGACTAACTCCAAAAAATTCAAGCCATAAACTACTTCATTAGGACAATAGTATACTTCACTGATCACTTTAAGGGATTTAGATCTTCATGTTGCATCTGTTTGGGGTTACAGGAAGGGTACATGCCAAGTCTAATCAATGTTTTTTAAGTCATCTAATCTAACCTGTAAGAGATATGATGCAATCTTAAAATGTTTCCTTATGGGAAATGAAGTTGTAAGAGAAATTAGTTCAGTGGACTAAAGGAAATGGAAAACAGATGAACTTTGTAATTGATTGGTATCAAAGATGCAATTAATAAGAAGAAACACAGCCTGCCAGGTGTTCAGGAACCTTATCAATACTGAGTAAGACTGGATCAGAATCCTCTGCCAAGATGGAAGACAGATGCTCCTGCTGTGCTGTCTGTCTTGGTTAGGGCAGGCTCAGGAACTGGGGTGTGACTTTGCCCACCAGAGGAGATTATCCACAGACCCACTGGAGGTGAGGTGTGTTCATAGCAGTATATCTTTTCCGGCTCATTAGAATTTAGATGTGAACCAGAAATTATAACATCATTTTCCTCTTTACAATATCATATGTTTGATGATAATTTCTCTTTTTAAATTATATAATTTGCTCTGTAAAAGTCCAAGTTAGTGTACTGAAATTCCTAATAACTACTGCTTAGTTTTCCCACTAAGTGTAGTGTTCCTTTAGGCCAGGGTAAGTACATCTCACTGCTGGATCTGGTAGACCTATAGTGGATGTGTCTGAATCTTTAAAGCATTTATTATTTTTCTTCAAGAGAAAAGACTGAATCATATTTAGAAGAAATAGACATGACACACACACAGTTGGGAGTGCCAGGCAGCTGAAAAGGAAGCTCATTTTGTTTGAAAGGTTAGAATTTCAAGAGAAGTACGTGGAAAGCAGTGTTGGGAGGGTGCATCCCCTCCCTCTCTTTGCCAGTGGAGACATGGAAAGCCTCTAGCATACTTTCTTGACCTAGTCCCCACCCATTAGTCCCTTGCAGAAGTTGTATCATTTCTGCACACTTCACATTTCCTCATACAGAGTGAGAGCATTATGACAGATTTTCTCTTAATGATTTCTCCCATTTTAAATTTCCCAAATTCCATAAGAATGAAAACCTGGTCCATAGCAATGTAAGTGTGCCAGGAGACCTAGAAGATAGTAGTATGTAGCCCGTATTATATTTCAGTGGTAATATTGAGGCAACAAGAACACTTAAAATACTCCATGGAACTAGCAATGGAAGTGACTGATGTTCTTATAATCCAAGTGCCACTGTTCTTTTATTCCATTTTATTGTTCTGCCTGTTACTGGATCCGTTGCTTATTGCTGTCTCTCTCCCTTCATAAAATAATGCCTCCACAAGCCTCATCGCTGCAATCAGAAGTCCCTCCAGGCCTTAGTACAAACATGCAGTTGCAGTGCTGACCAGTCTTACCTTATGTTCCAGAGACCGTGTAATTGGCTTGATGATGACAGCCTGTGACCTTTGTTCTGTGACAAAACTGTGGCCAGTTACAAAGTTGACGGCAAATGATATATATGCAGAATTCTGGGCAGAGGTATGTCCTTGATTCTTATATTAGGATAGATAATATCAAGGAACGGGAAATACTGAGGAGAAATTCAATATATGGATAATTTGCTTAGTATCTAAATTGCTGATGTTGCTAGTTACAATATTTTGGAAACTATAGTCAATCACATATGCTGAAAGATTTAGCCATTATGTAGGCTCAACATGAGAACATTGCTTCTACCATGTCTTACTTGAATGTGTGTGTAAATTCTCCGATCTCTGTTTAGGAACTTATTTACTGGGCTGAACCTTAGTGTAACGGTTTTCCTCACTTGACAGCTTGTCCTCTACTCATTCATTAAACATTATTGGATGGCTACTCTGAATGGGCTATATCTGCCTGCACTTAGAAGCTAAGAGAGTAATCACTGTGAAATAAGAAAATTTGTAAATATGCCCAATGGTTAACTCACCTGCAAATTACATTTTCTATAGAATGTGTACAATTTCAATTTATGACATCCCTGAAGCAAACAAATATGACTTTCAGTAGCATCTTTTTTGGCTGAATAGATTATCAGTAATGTATATGTCATTCCTCAGAGAAAGTAGAATATAATCACAAATACCTAAGTCTGCGCATATTGAAAGATTATGAAAAAATTGTAAATTCTTTGGGTACTTTTTTTGGTGTGAAAAAGTAAATTCAAAAGGCAAAGAGTTTTGCTGTAGCTGATTGAACCTCATATATTACCTGTATCAAAGAATGAATGTTAAATACAAAAAACAACAAATCATTCATCTTTAAGTTCAAAAGAAATTATTTATAATGTTAAATTTTTTCATAATGGAGAAGCCAAAGAATTTTTCTTAGATGAGGACACAGACCGTGAGCTGTTTATGCTTATGTTGCTATTTCTGTAGAATTCCTTATACCTTGTACATGCAAGCATTTACATGATTTGTCTTATTTTATTGTGTGTGTATCAGGACCTAGTTAATTTGAGACTCAATTGAGATATTGTTTCTGATGTATTTGTATGAACTGTAATAATTGACTTTTTTATCACAATCAATTTAATTTGAGGATTCACCATAGAGTACCATCTATAAATATCAGATAAGAAAACTATATTTCATACCTTTTTACCAACTATATTTATATTCTAAAATATAACTCAGTATGTGACAGAAATGTCATACAGATTTTTCCCCTCCTTGTACTCCTCCTTGATGATCCAGTCCACAAAAGCAGATGAAGCATTTAGCCTGATCACAGGCATGGTCTTCCATGACCCCACAGTCCCTGGGAAGGAGATGCCAGTATAGTACCTGCCATTGACCTAGATAGCCACAAAGTCCAGCCTCTCTTGTGCAATTGCCTCCCACCAGATGATCACCATGTGGTGTCTCCATGACTGTAGGTTCCACCTGGGTTCCTGGCCTGAGTCTTTCCGGTCTGTCACAGTCACAGTGGTGAAGAGTATGGTCTGCATAAATCTGGTTTTGGCAATAACCACATAGCCTCAGACAGTTTTCTAATCTATCAATACCTTTAGTAAGCACACTGTCATATAGGAACGATGATAACTCTTATCAATGCTTCAAATTCTCTGCCACTTCTGTGACAGAGGCCAAAACTTAGAGCATGTTGTACTGAACCCCATGTGGCCAACACCTCGCTGTGTTTCCTGGTAGCCCTCGTTACATCTGTGATCCATAGCATAGTTTTCCTTTGCTGCATTTATTCTTACTTTCAGTGTGTAGTCAAGCATTGTTTGTTTAAAATCTGCTTCCTTTTGGGGCTTGAAAAGTCACTGAGAGCAAGGGAGTTGGCAGGCTCCATTAAATCAGAGACCAGGTTGAAGGCCACTGGCTGCAGCATTATAGGGATCACATTACAGAGGAAGTTGTGCCTCCCAGCCTGGGCACTCAGCTGACAAATGTTGCATCCCTACATGAAAACTCGTAATGAGTTCAGAGTAATTTATTTCTAGGCTATATTCTAGCAAATCTAGGAAGTTTTTAGTCTATATTTGTGGTTTCTGAAAATAAGAATCATTAAAACTATCATATAATAAATGTGAGGGAAGAGTGGGAAGTTAGGATAAAAGTTAGAAAATTTTAAGGACGAATATTTTAAAAAGCTTTGACAAATGAATACTAAGCAAGATAATTTCTAAGATCTAGAAAATGGGATAATAAATCATCTCTGAGGACTTCCTGAGAAATACGTGGCGTAATATTTATAAATTATGTAATACAGAGCCTTCAACCTAGGAAATCCTTCCCACATATTACCTAGAATTAGGAGTTTAAAGCCCGGTGGTAGGGCTTGCCTTGTCCTTACCAGTGGCTTCCGCAGACTGTCACTCTTTCTGCGTCAGCACCCTGCTCCGCAGCCCGGCTTCTCCAGCTCCACTCTCCCGAAGAATCATTTGAGAAAGATGCGACAGAGGCCTTGAAGACGTCGCATACTTCCCTGTTCCTTCTCATTGTCCTTGTCATTTTGACTAACTGCTCCGTAGTGGTGCCGGAAGAGAGGGCTGATCTCTGGAAATACCATACATAATTCAAGAGAGTACAGTACACCAGGACAAAATACCAAACATGGACGCACTGTTCTACATTATGTTGACATGTTTCTTAGGACAGTAACAAGAAACATTCTTTGTTTTGAGGAAAATTAATGAGCACAGGGGACAAATCATTGATTCCAAATTTTATGGCTATTGAGAAAGAATAATTCCCTCTCCCATTTATTTTAGGGTGATGAAATGAAGAAACTGGGAATACAGCCCATACCTATGATGGACAGAGACAAGAAAGATGAAGTCCCACAAGGCCAGGTATGGGTTGTTAGAGTTCAGTTGTTATTAAGTTAGTTTAAGGTGGTTATAACACTATCTCTGAAGAGAAAGCATGCTCCATGTTGTAGTAAGTTTTGAGTAAGGGATGGTCAACACAGGCCTGCTGGTTGAGGAAGAAACTTTAGTGATTCGTCCTGCACAAGCTGAGAGCTGGAAGACTAGCCCTTCTTCCCTTGAGTCTTCATCTATTCCAGCAAGCCTTCACATGCTCAGGCATCCTTAAGAATCTGACTTGCACAGGTGGAGGAGTAGACCCCAGAAGTTTGCGCTTTAACCTAGGTGTGAGGGCCAGCTCTGACCTTGCTCCAAGCATTGAAGTCAACATGGAAGCACGGGGTATGGCTGTGCCGTGGAACGAAAGATGGAGAGAAATACTTGAGACCTCCCCCAGCCCTGAGATTGAGGTTAGGAGATCCTAGCTGGATTTCAGAAGCTCACGGCACTCTCCAGGGATGGCACTGCAGTGAACAGGTGTTCTTTTCTAACGTACAATGCAGGAGAGTGCCTTTGCCAAGCACCCTCTAGTGTCCTTGTTGAAGGGAGCTCATTGCCACTCTTTGACAGTGCAGCTCACATCCCTGTCATGCATGACACATGTATGTATTTACAGTTGGGTTTCTTTTAACATTGTTTATGGAACTCTCATATATACAGACAATTATTAGACTTTCCTATCTGGTGTGTGCTCTTCTGTTATATTTTGATAGTCCTTTTCTATCCTAGAATATATAAGAATTTTCATATATCTTTAGTTACTTCTTGCATTCCATCACTTACTTGACTGTTAATTCATTTGGAAGTTATCTTGTTATATGGTATAAGAAGGGCATCTAACAATTTTTTTCATTTTATGTAAACTGTCTCCTCAGAAGAATGTGTAGGGTGCTGAAAATTTCTCACTGATGCTGACAAATTATGGGTTCTTTCTAGAGTTTTTAATTTTTTTTTTTTGTTTTTTGTTTTTTGAGGCAGGGTCTCACTATGTAATTGAGATTGCCCTGGAACTCCCTATGTAGCCCAGGCTGGTCTCGAACTCATAGTGATCCTCCTGCCTCAGCCTCCCAAGGGCTGGGATTACAGGTGTGCACCACCACATCCAGCACTAGAGTTTTTAATTTTAATGATAATGTTTTTAGAATAATGTGCTTTTTATGAATATGTTTTAGTTTTACAGTATGGGAAATCTTTAAATGAAATATCTCTGTCAAAGCTAATTGTGGTGGAACATGCATGTAATCCCAGCACTCAGAAGGCTGAGGCAGAGGATGATCACAAGTACAAGGCCAGCCTGGGCTACATAGTGATTTCAAGGCCAACCTGAACTACACAATGAGACCTACTTCAAATAAATGTTTTAAGTTCTCTGTAATTCGCTAATAATTTACCAACTATATTACTTCTGAATTACTGATTACTATGAAATTATTCTTTGTCATTGTAATGAAATCCCCTACTTTCCAATAATTAATCTCTTTCATGGAATTGTCTGACAGCTGCCAAAAATAGAAGTAAGGAAATCTCTGCATGAGACACAAATTTAAAAATTGAAATAGGCATTTGTCCAATAAGATGACTATGGAAATAGCTTTACATCAGAAGAAAACACGGGCCAGAGATTTAGCTCTGTGGTTCCGCTGCCTGCCTTGCAAGTACAAGGTCCTGAGTTCGATTCTCGGTACCAAAAAGAAAAAAGAAAGAAAGGAAAAAAAAAAAGAAGATGAAAACAAAGAGGAACCACATATATTTGGTTCCTTTATATCCTGTGATATGGTTCCTTGAAGTGCATTTTTAAAAAGAAATTGGTAGCTGTGGTTGGGGCTCACCTCAGACCCAATTCTATCTTATACATGCTGTCCAGTTATACTATACTGAGGCAGTACATTGACCAGTTATGTAAGTATGGCTAGCTACTTGGGGCAATTACTGAGAGCTAGACAGTCTGTGTTCTCTGGCTCAGAGTCTCAGAATCTTTCACATCTTGCCTTCCCTAGACGAGTCTGAGGCAACACCATTTATTTGCAAGTGATTCGTAATGCCTGAAAAGTATTCTTTAATATATATATATATTTGTTTTTTTGTTTGTTTGTTGTAGACAGGATTTTGCTGTGTAGTTGAGACTGATCTGGAACTCCCTATGTAGCTCAGGTTGGTCTCGAACTCACAGTGATCCTCCTGCCTCAGCCTCCCGAGTGCTGGGATTACAGGAATGCGCCACGACGCCCAGCTATCTTTAATATATTTTTATAGTATGACAATTTAAAACAGTTAAGTCAAATATATAGGCAAAATAGGAACTTGAGAAAGGTATGATGAAGTTAGTGACATTGTAGGTTGAAATAAAACAAGGAATGGGGAAGTAGCAGGACACCATACAATATACCAAAGCCAAGAGTAACGCACAGGAAATATTGTGGTAATTTGTAACATTAGGATGAAATAGGGTCACACATGTAAGAGAAAAGCATGCTTAGCTTTGAAATGTCTTTGCCTGACTAACAATAACAGGAGACTTGAAGTAAACTTAAGTGATCTATGAATAGAATCTTATTAAACATGTGTGTTTAGATTTCAACAGGTATAACTTTCATGATACGTCTTAAATTTTTGTGTTGTATTTCTAAGATGTATTTTAATGCACTGTAAACTATAATCAACAATAT